TGCTCACCTCTTCTTCTGATCTTTAGTCTAATTCTTCAAATGGGTGGTTAAAGATTTGACAACTGAATGCAAACAATGAATTTTCATTTAACTCCTATATTTAAAACATTGTTTCAGGAATAGTTTGGTGTCTTGGTTTCTTAGCTACCACAATGGAAAACACACATGAATTAAGTTCTGTGGAATTTTAAAAATCTTTTATATTTATCTGAAGATCATTAATCTCCTTTAGTTCTTCATTTCCATTGTAGATTTTTAAATTACTGTTCTAAAATATTGAGAAACCACTGACACAAAGGAAGCAGGGAAGGTGAAGATTAACAGAAGTGAAAGTAAAAATGGACAGCAGAATTAAAGAAACGTGGAAGTTTTGCTTTCTTTAAAGAACAGCAAGACTTGTTTTGCTCTTTAAACATTGTATTCAATGGCTGTAAATCAGCATATTGCCAAAATGCCAAGCAGCCACTTGAGTCCACTGTTTTATCAACTTTCATAATAATTTGAGAGAATTTTCCATTTTATCACATTATGATCTAATACTAGTTTTGCATATGCATCACGAAGTTAGATACAATATTAGCAGACCCCAATATTAATCAAGAATTTTAGTTGCTTAGGGAATATATTGAATAAATATGTTAAATATATATATTGAAGCTGAGACCACAGTGATTTTTTTATTAGAGACCAATATCTGTCAGCAATACTGGAAGGTGGTATACTGTGAAGACAGATCACTTACTCACTCACCAGTGCTGTAACCTTCAGGAGAATGCTAACTTCTCTCACTATGGTGTCCTGTTGTGTAAAATGACACTAATAATGCCCACCTAATAGCACAGTTGTGAGGATTAAATTAAATAATATATTTTAGTGGCTGGAATACTGCAGAGCAGGTACTCACTGTAAATGAACTGTTTCTTAAATCAAAAAATTTTTTAAATGACCACATTCAGATGTCATCATTTCTGAGAATCTTCTCTGGCTCACTCTTTTACTCCCTTTCTCTGGTTTTTCATAGTGCATTGCATTATTTAGCTTAATTGCAGAACTTATCACACATTGTTTCACAACTGATTTTGAATGCCTCTTCCAGTATTGTAGGCTCATTCAGGAGAATTCTTTCTTTCTCATCCCTGGTATCTGCACCTCACCTAGTTTAGGTCTAGCACAGCTTAGAAAAAAAAGTTTTTGAATGAATGAATAGATCAGATCCATAGACTGTCTAGACAAGATCTAGAAGGACTAAGTGACATACTGTATAAAGGCACTATTATGTTCCTTAAGAGACTTTCACTGACTTCTGAACTGAATAACTCTCATACATACAACTGCAAAACTTTGAGAAAAAATTTTAGAAAAGTGAAAATCTTTCCAAATTTGGTAGTAATTCTAAATTTC